AGGTATGGAGAACTCGAATGTGTACTGCACTTCCATCGGAATACTATTAGTTGTGCAGTGACCAATAGAAATGAAGTTATAGGAAAAACGACTTTCTTAGAGTAAATCAAGGTGCAGAGTTCAAACTTGAGCTGTATTCGGTCCCATATCCTATTGGTTTGGCAACGCGCAATATAAATCAAGATTTTAAATGGTAGATTTCACAGTATAATTTTGATATTCAGACAGTCTAGGATGATTGATTTGTATGATTCACTTTTTGAAGTACACATAACTCTCGGATTTAAATCCGAAGTTTCCGCATTTATTTTATTTTATTTTATATTTATGATTTTTTCCATTTTATTAAAGAAAATGAAGATTTAATGGATGTACATGAAAGAGAAATCTTAGAACTTCATTCTCGTTTAAATAAATTAATGGTTTCATACGATGAAACTATTTCAAATAACTCTGTACTTCAATTTGAAATGGATACGTATCGTCGTTTACTTAAATCAGAAAAAACTCATGTTAAAAAAATGAATAATGCTCCTGCTACTTCTTTAGCATCGAATACAACAACAATTCCTCCTCGTCGTCGAACTGATTTACCATCACCATCTGTCAAACCACTACCATCAACTCATATTGATACCAAAACTGATCAAACTCAAATGCAAGCTAAAACCACTTTCCAAAGATCTGCTAAAGGTTTGATTTTTTTTAAATTTAATATTTTATTTTATATGAATATTTATAGGTCCAATTAATATTAATGAATGTTCACCTGATGGAAAATATATTAAATTAGCAAATACATCAAAAAATAAGGATATTGATTTAACTGGATGGCGTCTTTTAAGAAAAGTTGATAATTCACCTGAAATAACATATTCAATTCCGTCAGGTTTTAAATTAGCTTCAGGAAAATATGTTAACATTCATGCACGAGGACAAGCCAAAGAAAGATCACCATATGATCTTATTTTAGATGCACATGAATCATGGGGTATTGGTGTTAGTGTTATTACACGTCTTTTAAACGAACAAAATAAAGAGGTAGCAATACATATACAAAAAACTGGTTATGCTGCATAATTATTCATCATTTATTTTAATCTTTGAACTCTCATTTCTTCTCTTTTGTTATTAAACTGTGTATTTTTCTTATCACTTTATTCAAACTTTTTCTTCCATTGAAAATAAATTTAAGTTAGATTAAATATAGTATCATTTTATCTCACCTTTTACATTAGAAGAACAATCTTTTTTCAATTTTTTATCCAGCCTTTTTTTCTTTATCTACAATGCATAGAAGCAGATGATATGGCTGAGGCTGTGGAAATGAAAGTAGGTTTTTATATTCTCTTCTTTTACAACCACATTCGGCACCACGAAGAACAGCATAGTGAAGAGCAGTATGTTTTTGAAATTTATTAGATCGATCTAGGAAATTTAGCGACATTGACAAGATTCACGAGCAATCAAACATTTGAAATGCAGATGCATCGCATCATCCTAATAAACACCGTGAAGGACGACCTTTTTCAAATGACTTTTTCGCTAGAATGCTAACAAGCGCTGCGGTTCATCGACACTATAAAAATTGTCAAATAGAGGAAAACATGTACTCTGTTGCTGTAGTATAAAATCGAGCAAAAGATTTGTTTAGGCATTATCCTTGTACTGTGTTGAGGGGAAAATGTTCGATGATCATAGGGTGTGGGTGTGAATGAATAGTAGATAACCCTCACACCCACACCCTTTGCTCTTATTATTCAGAATTACATTTCTACAGAATCGCTTGTTCTATTAAATATTGAAGGAGAAAAGAATAAGTCATCTAGAATAGAGACAATTAACGTGTGTCAAGATTTTGTCATTTTCTTAAATAAATGCTAATCTATATAAAAATGTCATTTACTATTTTGGATACAGAGAAGATTCTATAACCCTTTTTAATTTTTATCAGCACTGAAAGGGCTGCCTGGATTTATCTGGGCTTATTTACTGATAGTATATAATACATTTTAACTGTACCAAAAGATAGCCATAGTTCAGAAGACTTAGCCATCACTGTCAGTTGGTATGCTGTCCTTAGTTTTGTTCTTATTTTGGGTCTAATAATTCGTTCCGCTGATGTTAAAATATACAGCGAAATTTTCTAGACAAGTCCTGAAAGCTGCTGCTTTCGTCCTGATTGAATATATTGAATTAGAACAATTTTTTTCAAGAGCTTTTTCTTTCTAGTTATGTATTCATATGGTGGTAAATGATAGGTTCATTTGTAATAGTAGATATCGTGTTATGAAACACTTGTTGTTAACATTCTTTATAAAAAATAATGAGAAAAGGAAAAAATGGCAAAAATAACTTGACTCGACAAATTAAATATTGTAGATAAAATATGTAATATAATATTGTCAATATTATTAAAAAATAATTTTCTTTTCAAAATCTTTTTTTCTAAAATTAAGTCAAACAGTTCATTAGTTTTATTTCTTGTTCGACTTCTTGGTCTTGATTTTTTAGTTTGATATTGCTGTTTATTGTTACACTCGGAAGCGTTTATATGGTGATGAACTTAGATGTAACATTACAGCATGCAATAGTCTATAGCAACATATTCAAGGGATTCAAATTTCCGACAAGAGGCTATCATATTACACTTTGAGCTTTTGGGGGAAGAGAAATCAGAAGAGAGATAAAAAAAAACAAACACACAGAAACAAAAAGAAAAGAGAAAAAAAATTGAGAATCTAAAAAGAAAAGAAGAGAGAACTAATACAGAAAGATGAAAAAGAAAAATCAAGAGATAGGATACATAAGGGAGCGAAAAGACAGATAAAGAAGATGAAAATGAAAGAAAACAGAGCACATAAACAAAGGCACATCGATGCACACATGGATATTTAATTGACAAACTCAATCCATTTAAGTAATAGAGTCTCATGTCTATCTTTCAATTTTTTAACTCTTCCCATCCGGAAAAAATGACCCAGATTATCTCCTTTACTTTTGTTAAAATCGTCCAAAAAAAGAAAATCATTAAAAAGAAGAGAACGTCCTAAATCCAAATTTATAAATTTTGCTTTAGTCTTTTTTTAATGTATTTTTTAACGGAAAAATAGAGTGGATTTTCGTTGGTTATCGTGAATAGATTCTGTTCTAACACAAAAGGACATCGATGAACTAGTCTCATTCCTACTCAAAATTTACGCCTCAAAGTTTCTTGATGGGTTTTGGGTAGTATTTTTGTTAGTTGTTTCCATTTGCTTGAATAGGCCGAAATTTGATTACATATATTAGTCCCTTCATTTTCTAAATACTCTATCATTGGTGAAAATTTCGATGGTAAAGGGGAACGTACCAGAACATTCAGATCATCTGCAAACACATGTGTATAGTGCGCTCCAACATAAGAAATAAGATCACTATGGAAAACAATGAATAGGTATGGACTTAAGCCACTTTCTTGTGGAAGACTAGTGAAAATATAGAATATGTTTGAGCTTGTACCTTCAAAATCTACATACGCCCGCCTGTTCTTTAGCCACGAAGCAATAAGTTTAAGCAAATCACATTGCGTACCCAAACGATATAGCTTAATCAGTAGTGCTTCGTACCACACTTTGTCATATGCTTTCTGGTAGTCTACGTATAGAGCCAATGTTGGTATGTTTGCTGCTATATGTCTGCTCACTTCTTGAAAAATAGACAGAACCCTAGTAGGAAGAAGACAACCAGGGCGAAATCCGGACTGTTTCGATGGCACGAGTTGATTACTTTCCGCCCAATGTCTTATTCTTTCTAGCATTATTTTTTCAAAGAGTTTAGAATGTGTAGCAAGAAGAGATATGGGTTTTGTTTGCTCACATATCGGACCACCTGCTTTCAATTTATTTAGTGTGACTATTTTTGCTAATTTCCGCTCTTCTGAATATCGATGTTCTTCAAGCCATACATTAAAACAGTTTGCTAAGCAGCTGATATAGCTAGGTGACAGCAGCTTAATCATATAGTTCGAAATAAGATCAAAGTCGGATGTTTTTTTTTTAATTTAAACTTCTTAATATACTTTGTTATTTCAAAGGCATTTGCTTTTTCTATTCTCTCGTCCAAACTTCTTAAATTGTTTAACAACACGTTGCACTCTTTTTCGATTTCTAAATCATCGGGATCTGTTTGGTTTGTTTCAGGCTTTTTGAATTGTTCTTCATAGTAACAATACAGCTCATCAACTATTTAGACTTGTAGACACGAGACAGATGCGACCAAAACGCTTTTTCCGGCCGATCATATTTTTCTTGAATTGTTGATAGAAAAGACTACCATCTTTTCGATTTATATTTACCGATTTCTGTTTTTACTTCAGGTATCATTACTCGCAATAGAACACGAATATCTTCATTATGACATCCAGGCATTTTTTTTTCTGTGTAATAAATATTTCTTACGCGCCTGACGTTTTTTTAGCTTATCTATTATGTTTGGTGGCAGAGATGGTCGGTATTTTTCTTTTTTCTTCCACATGATTACTCTATTTTTTTTTAATGCTACAAGGAACCGAGTATAATAGTGATACCATTCATCTGCTGACATGCCATTTTGCTGTCTTATCCAGAGATTCTGAAGAAGAGCCAACATATCTTCAAATACCTTCTATCGAACAAGTGGATAAGAATTTATTATTTCAAAACCTACATTTTCACATGTAATTGCAGCAGGCCAGTGATCACTAGTTCCAAAAAAATAATATTCGAAAAAGTCAGATCGAGGTTATGTACAGAGTGCTTAGATGTGTGTAAACTTCTTGGTCTTAATTCTCAATATTATATAATAGCAGAAATTTTAGTATTAATTTCATCATTTTTTATTGCTTATTGATATAAACAGGTAAAATTTTAGTTATTTTTTTAAATAGTTCTTATTTTCAATAGATTCCAATTTGAAAATTAATATTTTTATGTAATAAAATATTTTTTACATCAATAATTAATGAAAAATCTCTTCCAAATTAATTTTTGTTTTTCAATTATTTAAACAATTTTTAATTGAAATATTTATATCAATTATTGTTTCTTAATTAATATTTCCATTATTTGCAACATTTGATATTGAAAATCATTTTCTTATTGTTTAAAAAATCTTTACAAATGACATGTCTATAGATGCTGTTGTTGATGGAGATAACGAATCTGCTATTATTTTTATGATAATATGTACACGAAGAGTGAAAATAGTAAAATACGAACGAATTTTGGCATATAGTTCAAGGTATTTCAATAATTTCATAGTCAATAATTACTGTACAGCCTATTAATTACATTTATAAATCCAGTTTTTAATGAGCATTAATTTGTATATAATACTCTATGATATCATTTATACTTTAAGTTGTAGTGGAAAGGGGAGCGTAATGGTTTTATAACACCCTGTATTTCTTCCAAAATTAAATGAGTAAAAATTTGAGTTATTTTATTTGATTGACCATAAAAAAATGGAAGTACTCTCTTCTTTAAAATGTAAGCCGAAGCAGAGTTCAGTGGAAATGGTCGGAAGTATTCGACTGTTTTCTGGTCTTGCATGGCGACCGATAGAAATATTTTGAACTTCGGCACTGATGATGGACAGTGACTTGCTCAACAGTTATTTTCAAAAACGGCCTTAACAATACCGATTTAGATAGCTCACAGAAAACTACTCTTTTTCAAATAACATAGGAGACTCTATTCGATATGAATAACACCTGGGTGAGTGAGTGAAAGAAATTTGCAGTAAATAACAGCTTCTTTTCCAGTTTAAATAGGACTTGATTACATTCTTTTTGAACACTATTGACAGAGGCCATAATTTCGTAGATGGCGGCGACGTGAACATATTCAGATGGAAACGTATTTACATAGCTTTTGAGAACTTCTTTTAAAATATTCTAATACTAAATCAGTCTAGTTAAGTTGGATATGGATAATGGCGATATTTGCATGATTGCCATACGGAGTCATCTTGCATATTATTAATATTTTTTGGTAACATTCAAGAGCTTTCTCATAGTTATTTTCGTTCAAGTAAAGTGTGTCCAAATTACTCGAACATCATCCAACATTCGTTGAAATATTATTAATACTTTATTAAATGACTCAAACGCTTTTGCCAAATTACTTTTGGATCTATAGATGCAACCAATATTATTAAGGATAGTGGTAATGCATGCACAAATCATCTTTAGTTCTCTTGAAAATTTTTATTATTTTTTGGTACCAGGTAAGACTAAGTATGTAGTGATTTCGACCATTATCGATTTTAGCAAGTCACTGATAAGAATTGAAGTGAAGATATTCCCATTTTTACAACAAAATCTATGCCAATACTTGACACAATTTATCAACATCTTGATCAACTGGTATTCATTGAACGAACTCCATTGTAGAATAACGAGCGCGTTGATAAGTTACATCGAACTTGAGCAATCGATTTGATTATTAAATGAAAAATTGTTGAACATTAATTGATTAGATATATCAGATATTTTCATTCGTGATCCTGATGATTCAATATATCTGACCGTTGTTGTGAAGATTTTTCCTTTGTTTTAATTATTGAATTTCATTAATAATTGAAACTGGTAGGATAGCGAAAATTTTGATTAATAGATAATGGTAATTTTAGAGTTTTAAAATAGTAAAACTAATCTGAATTTGTTGTTTTTTTCCTCTATTCAACTTCTTTTTTTTTTTATTTGCTCGAAGAAATAAATAAACAGAATAAAGTTCTAAAATATCTTTTTCTACCCATATATCAATAAATACGAACGTATACAGAGGGGAATGAAATTATTCTTCTTATGATTGAATCTTTTCCTATTTAGATCATAGAAAGAGAGAAAGAAAGTCGATTTTTTGAACATGGTTGAACAAATTATTCTGGTTATCGTTGCTATTTTTCTTCCGCCATTGGCTGTTTTCTTACATCAAAATGCATTGAATAATAATGTTATTATTAATATTATTTTAACCTTACTATTCTGGTTACCAGGTAAATATGATTATTATTCAGATGTCGTTTAGTGATGTTGAACTATGTACATATCATTTATCTACTTTTTAGGTTTGATCCATGCTCTTTGGCTTATTCTGCATTGAAACTATCATCTTTCTTATGATGAAAACAAAAACAAAAAAAAACTTGCTCATCCATCCATTCACATGTGCTTCACTTTTTATTCAGCGTTTTTTAAATAAATAAACTTGTAATTGGCGTTCGTCTTATTATAGATCTGGGTTATATGGCAATGTAGTTCGGTCGGTAATTAATAGTACTAAAAAAGGAAATTTCACTCCTTTGCTCCGAACTTTCAGTAATTTCATTCAGATTCATTTTCTTTCTCAATGTTAATTTCAGAAGTGGTGCGGATGGTTATCGAAGTGATGATATTTTATCCAAAAAGCAACTTTCTCTTCCCCCGCATAAACCCACACCATTATCTAGCTTTTCTCCTACGAGGGTCGTTTTAAAGCTCTGAGAGGGCAAACACATAATATGTGGCCTAATGTCACCAACTTCGGAAGGGTAAACTCGATTTCAAGAAGAACGTCGTAACCTGGACTTTCATACTGAATAAAACATTGTATCTGTCCGATTAGAATAAGTTAAGATAAAGAAAAAGATAGGTAAAAATAGACTAAAAAATGAATGTAACTCGTTGAAGAACTATAAGTGAGAAGAACTTGTATTTGCATAATTGTTCTTAACTTATCGTATGATTAAATTAGTTCTAAGGTGAAGAGTTCTGCTTCTCACTTTCAACATGTTCTCGCACTGTAATTGTCTAAAACTGGAATATAATTTGCTTAGAAGAATTTAATAATGATCACTTTTCATTTTCATTAGTGTAAATCGTATGATTTCTAATTCATTTTCACGATGAGATACATGGCTAATATTTATTAAAGACAGTTGACAGTTTATGATAAGCAGTAATCTGCCATTCAAAAGGACTTTCGAATAGAATCCTTGTTTCAAAGATCAATAATTATACATTGATAATAAGCAGAGATGTGAAGAACGTAGTTAAGAGATAAAGTAGATTAATTTACCGATTTTTAATTAACTATTCTTCTCAAGTCAGATTCCATTACAACTTTTCGTTTTGACGTCAAATGATGAAGAATTTTGCTTTGATTTTATTGATACGTTATTTTTGAAAAAAGTATCAATCGAACATTTGAGTCATGAAAAATATTGGATGTTATTTTGGTTTCATTAAAAAGAATTGTTAACGTTGTTGAAATTCGACATAAACAAATCCAGAAAACGAATCTTCTTTTATGCATGAAACCAAAATTTCGGACAGATATTCATTGTCTTAGAACTCGTCTGTCCAATTATGCCTAAGTATCAATTTTCAGCGTCTTTTTGTGAAGAGGACAATATCTTAATTTTGTGTTTCAGTTAGAAAATACATCAGCTCTTAACAATTGGAAAATTTTAATACAGTTTGAAATTTTGTTGCCGTTAATACAAATAGAATAGTTTTTTCAAGCACAAAGTTGGAGAAAACTAAGAAATAAAAGTATGATTTCTCAAGCAGTATCCAAGAACTGAGAAATAACAATTCTTTTTCAATTCTTCCATAGTTTCATGATTATCAAAATCGTCAAAACACAATATCCGCTACATATTTAGCTCTTACACTGATATCAATCAAGAAATTTGTAAACATGAATGTGAAAGTATGAAAGATATTGCAAAAAAAGGAGTCGATTTTGGTTTTCATGAATGATGAAACTGTCAAGGAATTTATCATTAATTCTCATTCATCCTGAGAATCATCATAGCTCCGTTGAGAGTTCTCAGAAGCTTAGGAATAGCTATTTCACAGTTCTTAGACATTGTTGATAGTGCATGGTGAAGTATTATCATTGGAAAACTGAAAATCTACATTTAAAGATGTTCAATGATCACGATCTCTTTAGCAAACAAAACATTAATCAAATTTTTTTTATTTTCAATCAGTGAATAGATAATGTTCTAAATGCATTAAACAGAACATATTTAATGATATCTATGCAGAGATACCAGCTTTAATACACTTGTTCTTCATTTTTTTGCATTTACATGAAACTAATTATATAGCTTGAGAATCTTTTGCACATTTCACGTAGAATAAATATATCTTTATGCTTTTTCATTAGTGAGAAGTTCAATAACAATCAAAATACATCCATTACATCTTATATAAATTGGAACTGTTAGATTCGCAGAAACATTGTTGTCTGAATGTAATTTATTTCTGAAGTTTAAAACAAACAAACTTTATGTTTGTCAAACTAGACTTGCTTCTCATCCTGCACATCACCAAAACAACACCTGCATATAGACGAGTGAGTACACCTGCAATTGGAAATTTCCAAGGAAGAAAAAATCTATTAGTGATAAACGAAAATGTGTCGAAACTGAAAAATACAGAACGAAAGAACATCAAAGAAAAAGACCCCACACAAAATTGAAATAGAGTCGAAAAAAGAATTGCACGAAGGAAAGAGAAAAGCGCGCACATATCGACACCCATCAGTCCTGACAAAAAAAGTCAATCTATTATGTCGTCTCGTTTATAAGAAAAAGAAAGAAGAAGAAAAAAGTCAAAGGAAAAATAGGCAACAAGATAAATCAACCAAAGAAAGTTTACCTTTATAGTCAGGTACAAGCAAAAACATGACAACTGCAGACATTAACAATTTAAACAACGACTTCATTGTCGTTTGGTTAGATAATACTATTGAAAAGACCAAAGATGATCAAAATACAAAAGCACTTATACGACAACTGCTTAGAGATGATTTATTAACATTTGATGATCCAGATAAATGTATTGATAATATAACTGACGAACCGTTAAAACGAATATTTCTTATTGTTTCTAATACATTTGGTAAGCATTTTATACCACTTGTACACGAATTACCAAATATACAACAGATATACATATATTGTGGTGATCAAAACAAAGCTGAAACGTGGACTGAGCACTATTCAAAAATCTCTGGTATATTCACAAAAAAACAGGCATTATTACACAAAATTTATGATGATGTTAATGTACATGATAAAGATCGTGATTTACTAATGAGCATATTTCATCTTGCGGAAAAAGAAAATACACTAGAACAGTTATCTAAAGAAAGTGTAACATTTATATGGCATCAGTTAATATTGAAAGTTCTTCGATTAATGACAAAATACGATAACTTAAAAGATGAAATGGTTCCTAAATCTCAAGCAGCTTATCGTGATAATGAATTTGAAGAAAATAAAATAAAGTGTTTTCAAGAAAATTCTTGTTCGACGAAAGCGTTTTGGTGGTATACATGTAATAGTTTTGTATATCGATTATTAAATAAAGCTTTACGAACACAAAATATTGAAATTATATTTAAATTTCGATTTTTCATCAATGATCTTCATAATCAAATTGAGCAACTTTACCATCAATATTTAGACAATCATACTTCTATGATTGGTCATCATATAATAGTCTATCGTATTCAACGTTTAAGTATGAAAGAACTTGATCTACTTAAAAGTAATGTAAATGAACTTATTTCAATGAATAGTTTCTTAAGTGCTACATTGAATCAAGAGATTGTTAAACTTGTTGCAGATACAGATGATCAATTGAATAAACCATCACCATTACAATGGGTTATTTTCATAATTAATATTAGTAATATTAGTAAAGAAATGACACCATTTGCATTTCTAAAAAATTCTTCGTGCTTGCAAGATGAAGATCAAGAAGAAGAAGAAGTACTTTTTACGATGGGTACTATTTTTAAGATCCAATCAGTTGAACAACATGAGAATATGTGGCATATTCATTTACAACTAAGTAAAGAACAAAACGAACTTAGTCAAAGCCTTTCGGACTGCATGATGAAACAAATCGGATCAGAACCAGATCCATTGTTATTCGGTTGGTTTCTTTATCGGATGAATAAATTTACCAAAGCGGAACGTTATGCAAAATTGATGCTTACACAATTTCCATCGAATGATAAAGGAAGTGGAAATGCTTATAATTTACTTGGTCTTATTTATCAAAATGTTCATAGACTAGAGAAATCTGTTGAATGTTATGAGAAAGCTCTGGATATTTATTCTCTTTTGAATTGTCACAATAGTCCTCAAGTTATTGCTACTCATTGTAATCTTGCTTTGGTTTATTTGAAATTAGGAGATATTCGAAATGCAGAAGAACAACAAAGACAAGCAGAAGAGAAGTTAATCAATTCCTCACAAGCAAAGAATTCATTACTTACAGCTACAGTAGAAAGTCTCAAAGCTAAAATCCAAGCAGAATATGGTGATGATACGAGTGCTTTGGAAAATCTGGAACTTGTTTTAAAGAAAAAAAAGGAACGATTACCATCAGATCATCCTTCAATAGCATCAACGTTGAATGAAATAGGTATTGTACATGAAAAAATGAATAATGATGTAAAAGCACTTGAATATTTTCAACAAGCATTGGAAATCGGTAAGAGAAGCTTACCATCTGATCACTTGGATTTAGCTGATTATTATGAAAATATTGCTCGTATTTATTACAAATGCAAACAATTTCGACTTGCTTTGGAGCAATATGAATTAGCGCTAAATATTATCGAAGATTTCTCACAAGAGACTGAGAGGATTGACAAGTTATATCATTATATCACTGACGTGAGAAAAAAGTTACTTCAGTCATAAATTTACTGGTGAAAACGTTTCTTTCAACGAATATGTTTGTAATTTTTTTTCTCAGTTATCATATTGATCTTAGAACAAAATTCAATAATAAAAAGTAAACAAAAAAATAGATTTGATACTTCCTTAACATTCAAAATTACTAATACATTTGCACATAGCCAATCAGTCTAATAGTTCATTCAATAGAAAAGAACAAATAATATATATTCTTTTCTTCGAGTTCAATGTTAAGTAGCAAATTGTCAAGCGATTTACCTATCATGCTTTTGTTTTAAATCACAATCGATAAAGCTAAGATAGTTCTCTTTAAGTTAAATTTAAATATCTAACTAAAACATGTACCAATGTAAATGGCTGGTTTAACATGAGCATAGTTATTTATAAATATTCAATGTCAACTAATAATTTCAGTGGCTCATACTAATGAGCATATTGCTTTCGATAATTATTGAATTTTTGATACGAATACTAATTTTTCCGATCATTACCATTTGAATTTTGTTTATTTGATTGTTCATTATTCGATCTTTAAGAGAGATCCTTGAGAAATTAAATTTATCATGTGTCATTCTACTGCTTATGAACCTATTATGATATTTTTATCTTTACGTTGTTGAAAGAAGCGTCAACGGGATGCAGGGACTACAAGCAATAAAACAAACAAGAACTGTGGAACTAATATTGAGAAGATGTGTATTCGTATATTCTCTTATGGTTTTACTTCCTCTTCTTGGTTTTGCAAAAGATTTACATGGAAAAACAAAGATAATACGAGGTAAATTAGATTTCTTGTGGATCTATGACTTCCTTAAGTATTCTAATAATTTCTCGGCATACAAACTGTGAAAAAAAAGTAAACTGATTCATCTCATTTTTCATAAACTGAAGGAGTCATAAGAAATAAATGCATTCTTATTTTTTTTTCTGAGTCTCTGATCAAAACAAAAGTAGCGGAATACATTAAGTAAAATTTGAACAATATTCTTAAGATTTATAAATTTGTTGCGAACTTCTATTTTTATAAGTTATTGAGAACAAAATCACTATAATAGTTGAATTTGATCAAATGACGTTTTTAAAAAAAAAATGAGACTAATTGAAACAATATAATTAAAAAAATAATGAATTAACCGAACATTTTCACATAAAAGATCGAATTCATTGACTAATGCTTAAATATTGTATCTTCTCGTTCTTTGTATAATCCAATATTCCGTACGAAGCAGTGATAGGCTAGTCAAGCTATTATAATATATCGCTTCTTCGAAGACTATCTTTCAAAATCAGTGGTTGTTCTTAGTTTTTTCTGCATTTTGAAGTGCATTACTTACTAAAAGTAGCGATAATCAGTAAAAGCAATCGAAAGCAGGAACATCGGAGCCAAAAATTTCATCAAAAATATAGTTCAGTGTGTCTTGATCCTAGACATCAATCCTCCGCACTCAATAGGATGACAAATAACGAAGTTACTAGTCAAATACTACTTTGACATAAAGACACTCGAATCTCTACCATCCGAACATCTTCATTGGTGCTAAAACCTTCATTCATTTTCTGAATATCTAATCTTTATGTAATGAAGTCTTTATGAAAAACTACTTTTCTCGTTTTAAATTCTGTGTTCATATGTGAAAATCGTTTACTGCTATCATATCAATGATTATAGATGAATTGGGGTGAGTGCTGGTCTTGTCTTCCTTCACACCTACATCCTTTTCTACTCAATCACGATCTTCAGTTTGGATTCTTGTTCGAAAATTCTCTCAATAGTCGTGGTTTTCGATTAAAAGCTGTCGCATAAAATAATATACATTGCAAATCTTTTCTTTTGATGGAATCATGATCATTATCTAAACCCTTCAAACCATCTGATGGATTCTATCACACGGATAGAGTCGCAATTTTGGTATTTTTGTTGCACTATCAACCTGAGATAAAGATTTTTATTTGACAGAGTAAGCTGTTGAAGAATTCTACGTCTGAAAGACCGTCATTGCACAAGCATTTGTTGCATTCATGGTGCACAAGGTTTTTTCTTTTTTTTTTTCGAAAGATAAAAAGCACGAGCTACTTGGCTTTATTCTTTATTTTATTTGCACTTCTCATCACTTATCTCGCACAAAGCAACAAAACAAAGATTTCATCGAATTTGCAGGTAGGAAATTTGTATTTAGAAGTAGCTCACTGTATTGAAGTTGCTCGTCGTCTGTTACACAAATGAACCATTTATTTTCAATTAAAATCAAATTAAAAAACATTAATTAAACTTTAATATTTATAAAACAATACAGCAGAAATTATCAATTAATTTCTTCATATTATATGTTAAACTAGCGGCAGATTTTATTCGTTTCTCATTGACTAAGAAAAAAAAGTAATTCAAAGAAAAGAATACTGAAAGTGTTCTTGTTTGGTCTGGCCAAGCGTCACATACAAACTTTAAGGAGTTTTTATTATAGATACAGACTGACTATTCAGATTTACCATCAGTAAAAGTTTCATTGATTTTTTTCTTTCGTCAGGGGTAAATTATTCGAAAGATATCGAGTCTCATAGAATTTCATCTGTCGTGAAATTTCATATATTTTTTTAAAGTTTTAATTGTGAAAGTTTAAGAATTTAATTTCAAATTTTCGTAATATAAATCTATCTTCTCTCTAATCCATATGTAGTACAAAGATAATTTCATCATTCCAATATGTCAGTTTCACTAACAACGAAATCTGATTAGAACTTCTGTTTATTTTTCAGGGAAAAGTTATAATATTTGGTGGGACTAGTCAATAAATCTCTTTTTTAGACATCTGTCCGACGAAAAATAGAGTTTATATCACTCGTTTATTAAATATCTCAGGGCTTGCAACATCCTTCACAAGGATGTGGATGTAAGAATACCGCTATCTGAAACGAGTATTTCCCACCAGCGCTTACATCATTATTGAAAACAGAAGATTTTTTTTTATACAATAAATGGTATCGTTGGATTACGATATCAGTTCCTATTAAGATGCAAAGCATGAAACGAGAAAATTCGAACAAAGTCAAATCAAAAGACGAAGAAAAATATTATTAGATTCGATCTTAGGGTTGTTGTTTGCTATAAATGTTTCAATGGTTTATATATAAATTCAAGCAACCAATAAAGTATTTCGTCATGACTAGATTTCAAAATTTGATTTTCTGGCCAAAACAATTATTTAGCGAAGAAATAGAATCATATTGAAAATACTTTTCATTGAATGGCATAAAGTGAATTAAGTTTCTTAGTAAACTAACACGACACCAAAGTTCTGCTTAGCTTATCATTGAAAGAAATCGAAAGAGCTTTGATGATTTTATAAGAATTTTCTCCATGACTATTGTTGTCATCGTTTACCTTTCTATTTTTCATATTCTTCTGTAATTTCGTCCGATAGTAAGAAACTTTTCATATATCACCATTCGTTATTCATCAGTCAAAGTAAACATCACAACAAAAGAGCAACATTTGAGAAAAACAACCATTATATCTCACCTATCATTTCACACAAAATACAATTGATCATTGAGAATGTGTGTGTGTGTGTCGGTATATGCGGGCGTGTCTTTTCTTCACTCGTACCCTCAAAATATTGAAAAAAAATTTCAGGAGATGCAAAAGAATGATGCTGAATTTTCGTCTGATGATTACGATTCTCGTCTTGATCAAATGCATACTTCAAATATTTATGATGACAAACTTCTACAAATTACATTTACCGATCAACAATGGTTTCAATTGTATTTTCATGATCAAATAGCAATGTATTTAGCTGAAATTAAGATTCAACTTTCAACTGATTTTGTTATTGATTTATTAACAAGTAATCCAACGCAAACAATTAAACAATATAAACGATTACTTCTTGTTGAACTAACAGAAATTCTTCGTCTATTTGAAATTAGTTTACAATTCGTTAGCGAAGAGAAAATTCGAAATATAATCAAAGAACAATGGACTGAAATTTCATCTGGTACAATACGATCGTTCGAATTCTATACACTTGTCTTGGTCAATAATGAACAATTATATCAATTACCACCAAAAACTAAAACTCTTGAAGAACAATGGATATTCGATTGTCAAGTTGATTCTATGATTGAAACAAGTCTAATGAATTTAATTGAAATTATTCTTTCACTGTCTGTTATTCAACAAGTAACAACAACTTATAGTTTGATTGCACAAGGCATTCGTGATCTAGTTTCATATGATGTTAAGAATCTGAAAAAACTTCGTTCATTTCTTAGTTTCATTCGTTGTCTCACTACTCTACTTCCTCACAACACTCTTAATGTTCTCAAAGATGTTTGTATGAGTGGTTTTAATACAAAATTTCATTCATGTTCAAGTATTCATTATTTTATTACTCAATTACAAGGTCGTATTAAATCAGAACAATCAACTGCTGATGAAAATGTTATACATCGAGCATTAGTTAAACTTGAATTTTTACAATTATTGATAAAAAACTTGATTTAACATCAGCATTAAAAGAAAATCATGGTAATCTTCTATCGACTGATGAATATCAACAATTTAATCATTCTCTCGAAATGTCAAATACTTCTACATGTAAAATTGAACGATTAATGGTCAATCGACTTCATACGCATTTGATGTTGAGTGTACAAGGAAATGAAATTGATCAACAACTTACTGATGAATATGAACATTTTGTTGAAAAGGTTCGTAAAATTCAAAGTAGTAAAAAATTAGATATTGATCAAAGGATTTCATTAATTTCATGGATTAAATATTATACAAAAATGTATGCATTTGCTTTGAATAATGATAGTCGAGAAGATTTCTTATATAAACTTGATCGATTTCTAACCGATATATCGAAGTGCCATTTTGTTCGACATTGAAACTTTTTATTATCAAACAAATTTTACGAATGTCGAAATTTACTTTGGAAGGTTTACGTGAAGTCTATGTAAATCGTAATCTTCTTTGGATAAAACCATTTTTTCAACATACCCGTGATCAACAAACAACAAATGTTCGTCAAACTATTATTATTCTCATCCCTCTTTTTCAATGTCAAGAACAATTCGTACAAATTCAACAAATATTCAATAGTATAGACAGAAATAATCAATTACGAAAAGTAATTCAAGAATGTAATCATTCTGAAAAATTATCCTACTCTTTTCTATGTTGGTTTGTTGAGTATTGTTCTCGTTTTATTCAACCAAAGACGGAAATAGACGCTGACTTTATTCAAATTATTCAACATGATTTTGGTCAAAATTTAATTAAATCATTTACATCATTGGATCATTGATTTCTCATTGATTTATGTTCAAATTTTTCGGAGAAATCTTATTTTCAACTTCATTCTAGAATGACACCGGATGATATTCATAAACGTTTACTTGCTTTAAATATCGTCGCTGTCTTTATTTCTTTTAAAGCACAATCAGAAATTACACTTCTCAGTAATATTCTCTTCGATAGTCAACGACAAATGCTAACTAGTTACATTCAACATCTATCGACTATCTACTTGCCAGGTTTAACAATCAGCAATATGATTATCAGTCAAATGATGTATGTTCGTACTCGAGTTCAAGAACGTCTCAATCAAGGTGCATACATTGTAGAATATGGAAAATTTATTTTCCAATGCTCAGAAGAATGTCCATGGATGTTCTTTTTTAGGAATCTGGTGTTCCTGCCCAGGTCGATGATTCTGGTCTCCGGATCAGGCCGGAATCGGCAGGAAACGCCGAATTTCCTGCCCAATTTCCACCGGTTCCCTCGTCATTCCCGCCAGAACAGGGTGGCAGTATTCCGGCCGGAAAGTCACCGTACCCGGAACCACTCTATCCCGAAAAATTTCCGTTCACCCGAAAACACAAAAAATAAACTCGGAACCTAGCGGAACCCCCGGAAACCGGCAAGGAACTCACCGTTTCCCACCGGAAAAACATGAAAATCTGTTCGAAACCTCTTTCAAAGATCTTTGAAATACTATGAAAGATCTTTCAAAGATCTATGAAACATCTTTGAAACACTTTGAACGATACTTTTCCATGCACCTCGGATTCATGCCGCCTTGCGCACGTAAGTCACAACAATGAAAACACATAACTTGCACAGAGATTGCGCACGACGATCCTTTCCTGGCAGCTGTTTTCAGACGACTATCTGAGTTTAGAAAAATAAAATATGTCGGAAATATTTTCTCGCATACCTTACACTAAAAAATATGGTTGAGTCTGAGACCATCAGGCTCTTCACTACGAAGGTTTGGTATCTACACCGACGTTGGTGAAAGTGAACGAGAAAATTTGAATCTGCATCCTCCTTAGGAACCAGAATGAAATACCACGCTTTGGTACTTCGTGGGTATGGAAGAGTGCTTTCTCTGGGGCACGACATCAACTCTATCTTTACACATTACGCGTAGGGATTGCAAGGTCTTTGAAATCGGTTGTACATCTTTCGGGGAGAATCGGATTGCAATAACTCACTTAGGTACCTCGTGGATTTGGAGGAGCGTCAGCTGTGGGGCACGACATAAACTGTCTTTACACATTACGTGTTGGGATTGTGAAGTCTTTGAAAGGGTTTTCAGACATTTTGCAAACTGTCCTACAGATATTTGAAAGATCTTTTAAACTCTGCGAAAAGTCTTTGAAAGGTCTTTGAAAAATCTTGCAAGGTCTGAGAAAGACATTTGAAGGTCGTTGAACGTTCTCTCAAGGCCCAAAGAAGTGTTCGAAAGTTATTTGAAATACGTTTCGATGTATTTGAAAGATGCTTGAAAGTCGTAGAAGGATGTTTAAAGGTCGTTGAGAAATCTTTTAAAGTCTTGGAAAAGCCTTTGAAAGATCTTTCAATGTCTGAGAATGTTTCGGAAAGATTCGGAAAGATTTTTCAAGGTCGTTGAAAGATCTTATCAAAGTGTCAGGAAGTCTTCGAAACATGTTTCGAAGTATTGGAAAGATGTTTGAAAGTCGTAGAAAGACCTTTGAGAGTTGTTTCAAAGATTTTTCAATGTGTTGGAAAGATCTTTGAAAGTCTTAGAAAGATTTTACAGTCTCATAAAGATATTTGAAAGATGTTTCAAAATTTTCGAAAAGGTTTTCAAAGATCTTTTAATCTCTGACGCAGTTTCAGAAAGACGTTTGAAGGTAATTGAAAGATCTTTCAAAGTCTCAGGAAGTCTTTCAAATATGTTTGAAATATCTTCCAAAGTCTCAGGATCTCTTCCGAAGATGTTTGAAATATCTTTCAAAGTGTTCGAAAGAGTTTTGAAAGATGTTTCAAAGGTCTTTTGAAAGGCCGAATATGGGCTTTGTCAACGAAACGGAAAGAGTTGGGATATAACCGGATCCTGTGATCAGGACGAAACCCCGGAACTGTAGTTTGGAACCGTACCGAAGACGGCAGGTATACGACTCGGATCCGTTTAAAGTGCTTAAGAACAGGAAACTTAGTCGGGAACCGCATCGGAAACGACAGCCGTATCCGAAGACCGCACTCGGGGATAGGAATGAGAGGGAACTGAGCAGGATCTGAATGCCGGATCCGATTTGGGAACACTGCCTCCAGGAATTGGTCGGAATTCCACGCGATCCGACCGTTTCCCGTCGTACATCTTTGACCTGGGTGTTGGTAAAAGCATGTGTTCTTTATGTCAGAAAGAGAATGACGCTCAGAAATATAATGTTCTTATCGAACGTAATCCACCTCAACTTCGAATACCCATTTCTGAAGGATTTAAAAAGATTGATAAATATATTAATGAATACAATAAAAAAATTCATTTCGGATATCATAATGTCAAGGATACAAATGAGAGTACTCTCTGTCCAAAATTAAAATGGTCTCCACCATTTTTTGAAAAACTTGAGAATAGAAGTAGCTAACGAGCTGCGGTTTTCACCATTTTGTAGAGCCTTGGCTACTCTATCAATCCCTATATAGAACATTAAAAAACTAAGATTTCCACGTTGTTTGCTAAATGAATGTTTAAAAGATTCGAATCCCATTCTCTTAAGTTCTATAGTGAACTCTATGTTGAAATGTACTAAAATATAGCCTAGGACGACATCTACAAGTCTACACAAGGCCGGTCTCTGTATCTCTTAAGAATCTCAAATGGTCATTATTTTTCCAAAAGTGGTGACGGTGGTGATTCTTCATTATTCATTGTTCTTAAGAGTACATTGAAACATAGGTAGAATGATATGGGCGTTCTACGTAATTTTCGGATTTCAAAAATTATGAGAAAAACTCGTATCTTTTTACCTATGTTTCAATGTACTCTTAAGAACAATGAATAATGAAGAATCACCACCATCACCACTTTTGGTAAAATAATGACCATTTGAGATTCTTAAGAGATACAGAGACCGGCCTTGCGTAGACTTGTAGATGTCGTCCTAGGCTATATTTTAGTACATTTCAACATAGAGTTCACTATAGAACTTAAGAGAATGGGATTCGAATCTTTTAAACGTTCATTTAGCAAACAAGGTGGAAATCTTAGTTTTTTAATGTTCTATATAGGGATTGATAAAGTAGCCAAGGCTCTACAAAATGGTGAAAACGCAACTCGTTAGCTACTTCTATTCTCAAGTTTTTCAAAAAATGGTGGAGACCATTTTAATTTTGGACAGACAGTAGTACTATTTAAAGATCGATAGTCTAAACAAGATGTCGATGAGATTAGACAATTACCATTTGCATTTTTCCCCATGTGACACAGTGGATAATAAAACAAAACAATTCGAACAGGGTTGCCATGCACAATGCGAAGAAGAAGCATCCTAGGTCGAACAAACACGGTCGTATACGGAGACATACGGCAAAATACATGGTCCGGTATTACGGTCATATAGGGAGCGTATACGTCGTTTACGAAGTCCGTAATCGTCGACCTGGGACGTTGTAAAGTTGATAGTTGAATTATTGATCAGAGAAACCAAATTGTTTGCACTAATAGTAGTTTGAGCTGAAAAATATGCTTTAAACTATCAAGAAATGAGTAAATTATGAACAAAATACCTACTATTCCTAGAACGACATAGTAGATAAACAACAATAAGAATATCTGTATAATCTAAGTTTGATTCGGTGCTTAATTATAGAGGGGGTGTGAGTGTGGTTGTGTTAGCATCTTATAAGTCAAACCTAAATCCAAACCCAAACCCAAACCCACAACCACACCGACACCCACACACCCTCAGAAACGCTTTATCTTTGAAAAACATTTTAAAATCTTAATGATTAAAATATTGAAGATTTATTAATTAAGTTCACAGGTCTAAAAACTAACTGATCTGAATTATAAATGAAATCAATTATTGTTAAACATTACAAAGATACAGGATTCTTTATCAAATCATGGTTGAAAATGTGTTATTTAAGATTATTAGAAATCACTAGTCTATATCTTCTTTTGTTTTTTATTTATTCCAAAACTACTCACATGTTTCATCATTGCCTATGAATTTACATTTTTTTTTCAAACTGTCGTTGATACAACTGTTTGCAATAACAATTAAATTATAAACAGTAAACAGTGATGAAGAGAAGTTTTCGATGTTAGAGACGAACGGAACATCTCATCAATTTTAAAACTTGAAAAAACTTATTAATTTGGTTCTTATAACGTCATTTATTTGTTTATTTTAATCTGATTCTTTTAAGATTATTTACGATAAAAAAGTAATTGATTAATTGTAATAAATATTGGTAAGAATAAGAGCAGTGAGCTAGAAACAAATTCAACAGCACAAACACAAACAATGAGTGCAACAGAAGCAAAGAATTTGAGTCCATTTTATTTAGCTTGTCGTAATGATGATTTAAATAAAGTAAAAGAATTAATAACATCAATGACATTAGATGAAATAAATAAAGTCGAATCTAATGGTAGTACAGCATTACATGCTTGCTCATATTATGGACATAAAGAGATTGTAAAATGTTTATTAGATCATGGTTGTTCTCGTCAACAATTAAATAAATATAAATTAACACCTGAACAAGAAGCTAAAACAGATGATATTAAAAAGTTATTTGGACGTTCATCATCAGGATGCCAACAACGTTTTACTTCATCAAATCAAGTAGAATTTGACTGGACATTTAATGATCCATTAACAGCAATTAATAATCGTTTATTTCATTATGATCATGGTATAACTACAGTTACAAACAAAATAACTTATACAGAAGTATTAGCACATGATACAGAAGGTATGAAACAAGTACTTTATTATCTTGATAATGCAAGAAAAACAAATGATTTATCATTTGTATTACGAGCATATACAGCTGAAACAGATTTTTATAAAAAACTAAATTTAACATTGGCCATGGATGATTGTAGTTTATCTAAAGCTTCGGAAGGTCAAGCAAAAATAAAATGGGCAGAATGGTATACAGGATTAATTGCTAACAATTCACAATTTAAAAAATATGAATTTAAACATGGTCAAACATATCGTGGTATTAAATGTACACAAGAGGATTTAAAAAGATATGTTGTTGGTCAAGTTGTTTGTAATAAATCTTTTTTATCAACAACAAAAGATCGACACATCGCTCAAGGGTTTGCTGGTACAACTGATCATAGTGATAAAAATATATCCGTTATGTTTACATATATTATTAAAAGTGGAAAAAATGTAACTGCATTTTATTTAGAAGAAGTATCTGAATATCCAAGTGAAAAAGAAGTTTTAATATTACCACAAGCAATATTTATAGTAAAAAATATTTTAAAACAACAAGAAAATGGCAAAGATAAATATCAAGTTGAACTTGAAGAAGATGAAAAAGAATATAAAATGTAAACAAAATGATAATCTTCTAAAGTCACATTTGTTTATGGTGCCTTGATTTGTTTTTATTTTAAAAAATATACGTCGAAGATAAACAAAAATGAATAAATAAACTCGAAATATTCATCAAGTGGATTTGTTTTCAATCGATTCCTATTGAAACAGAAACAAACGATAGTATTTTTAAATAAAAGGAATTCTATTGAAATAATTAGACTGAAAAAGAAAGATCTGTCATTATTTAACAGCTTTTGCATAAAAAACATGTAAACATAATTGATTCGACGTGTTTATCTGAAATATGACAAATAAGAGTAGCTAAACATGTTTTACTTGTATTAAGTCACAGTTATTTTGTTTGTATAAATTGAGAAGATGAAAACATTCGATTTTTATCTGTAATATTCTTATTTCTTATCTAATACAGTACTGTATCTAAATAATTCTATAAAAACAAAACTATCGTACAGAAAAGGCGTTTCAGAAAGACATAGAAGAGAAATAAAGTTTATTAAAAGAAAATCGATATTGATCAAAATTCCCATATAAAAACATTGTTTTTTTTTAAATTTTAACATACTTCTCACGTTATATTGGTTTTCTTTCTTAGAATTTTGATGTATATTATACCATTGTTCAAGGATTAACTAAATTTGTATGACATTAACAAAATCAATTATAAATTAGCACATTAACCATTGATATATTGATCACTATTTATTTCCTGACTAAACATTGACATGATCATCATGACTTAAGATTATCAAGATCACGGTTACTACCGTAATCGTGACTAGTTTTTGAACAAACGTCGTAATCATGGCTGAAGCTTGGTCACGAGAATGTTTTTAATTGGAACATCTTGGGACTATTTTTTAACTTAAAAAAAAGCTTTAAACTTGAAAACCTTGTTCTTGTTGTGCTTTGGTAGGAAAGATCCATACTCCTACCGACAAGCTCATCTACATTCACACCCACACCCACGATTGCAATATTCTGTCATATTCAGAATTCCGTTATGTATATATTTTAACCATATGCTTATGTTATTTACGATTTATTGATGATAAAATATTAAATCATTGAAATTTTATCTAGAAAAATTTCCATCAAGGTATTGATGTTAACGGCAAAATCGCATTTATAAATATGAGTTGAGGAAATTATTCCTTTGAACATGTATGAGAGATACTTTTGAAATAAACTGAACATAAATCAATATCATAGTAATAATATAGGGATGGACTATTTAAAGTCAAATGATTACTTCTTTATTTTTCAATTTCTTAGCACTTTAATTTAGAATTAAGAAAATTTTCAAAGAAACGCAAATTCTAAACGATTGTCTTTGTGAAGACCATCACATGTCTTTTTTTTTGTATTATTCGATCGAAAAAATAAGTAAAATCGATATTTTCTTTACAAGTCTCAGGACAATTTTACCGAATCAGAAATAGAGTGAACACTATTGTGTCTGATCTTGCATTCTATGAACATTAGTAATTTCTAAATAATTCATCTGTAATGTTCATCATCAAATTTATTCTTTTGTAGTCATGGTTCCAGTGTCGGTTCTGACACATAGAAAACTACTTAAAAATGTGCTCGCACAAAATCTAAAAAAATTCTTAAGTTACTGATTCTTTGATTTATTGGGCCAACAAATGTCACAATGTTTGGTGTTGGTCTTTTTGCATTATGCTGTGTTGTGATTAGTATAATAATTGACTCAGAAACAATAGAACATGTAACTAAAACTTGGTTTTGATCAGAGATTTACTATCAGTTTTAGTTTCACAAATCTCTAGATTAGACTAAATGAACCACAGTATCTAGTTCTCATGTAAGGTTGGCCAAATTCTGAACTTAATATTATATGGGAGTGACCAGTCAGTATGGTACCCTATTTTGATGCACTCCTATTGTAAGGATAAAACATACTATTGTTCGGGTTATATAAGAGAGGATTCTAGATAACCCTGAATTGGCCCGAACAACATCATGTTTTATCCTTACAATACGAGAGCACAAATACTAGATACCATACTGACTGGTCACCCCTTTACTATAAATG